TGGGAAATTGGCTGATGATATTTACATGAGTCAGTCAAAGGGTTTTGTTGATGCAAAGTTTCCCGATACAGTGTGTAAGCTTGAGAAATCAATCTATGGATTGAAACAGGCTTCTAGCAGATGGAATCTTTGCTTTGACGAGAAGGTCAAGGAGTTTGGCTTCTCCAGAAGTGAATATGAGTCTTGTGTATATGTGAAAGCTAGTGGGAGTATAGTAATCTTTCTGGTATTATATGTTGATGACATACTTCTTATAGGAAACGACATTCCAACTTTGCAAGAGGTTAAGTCTTGGCTTGGAAGGTGTATTGATATGAAGGATCTGGGAGAGGCTACTTATATTCTAGGATTAAGAATATTGATAGACAAGAGTAAAAGACTAATTGGATTTAGTCAGAGTACATACTTGGAAAAGGTGCTAAATCATTTTTGTATGGAAAATTCCAAGAGAGGAGAAGTTGTTGAAGAACTCCAAAGTCCCAATAATGTCAATTAACTACTTCATGAATACAATCACATGCAACAAATCTTAGATAATCCTTCGAGTAAAAGACTCATGCCTATCACGATTAGACTCAGACGAGAGTTGCGCAATAGAGTTAAATCTATCACTTTGAGATTATTTAACCTTTGCCACATGTGACTTAACATATTCACTCAACAGTTAACTCGCACCATCAAGAGTCTCACAAGGCACAAATCAAGTAACATTCATGCAGTAACACTCCAAGCCATAGACTAATAAAAGGAATTCTCAAGCTCACTGGTTACCAATGTCTTCGTTGTACTATCATACTTCCTAGGTTCTCCAAGGATTCCTCACCCCAACCTACCATCCGTTGTTGAAGGTCCCATACTAATGTCAGTTAACTAATTCATGAATACAATTGCATGCAACAAAACTTAGATAATTCTTCAACTAAAAGACTCAACCCTACAACGGTTAGACTCGTATGAAAGTTGTGCCATAAGGCCAATCAACCAGTCTAAGATTATCTGACACATGCAGCATGCAACTTAACATATTCATGAAATAATTAGCTCACATCATTTTCATTCCCACAAAGCACGAAGCAAGCAACATTCGAGTATAGGAAAGTCTAACCAGCATACCAGCTAATCAAGCCATTCTATCCAATCATCTGAAAATTCATACTAGCATGCAATTCTAAAGCTCAAATAACATGCAGACAAAGGCATCTCCCCTAATCATGAAATCTTGAGCAGATCCTTAGCCCTAATCTAGCATTTAGATCTCAAATTCACAATTCAAAGCATAATCATAAAACATGCATGGGTATTGTGGGAAAACTTACTTGAGCTCGGTCGATTGCATGCACCACATCCCTTTATTTTATTCGAAAATCCTTTTATAAAACTATTTAGTTTATAAAAATCTACTAAACCCTCAGTTTGAGTTCAGACGCACCAAAGAGTATAGTTGAATCTCTCAAACCAAGGCTCTGATACCAACTTGTAACGTCTCAAAATATTAAGACCAAGAATTTTACTTTAATAATAGTAAAACCATCATTCAAAATGTGTTTGTAAAACCATAAAAGAAAATAAGAGTATGTCAATAATCATCCAAGTACATCGAATCACAAAATACGGAACAACGTGGTATGTGCGATGCGACCATCTTAAGCCCTTCCCCTTCGATCCGGAAGTACCTGAAACATAAACTGAAAATCATAAGCATGCGGATTAGTGAGCTCCCTAAAATTCCTCATGGCATACATATCAAACATACAATGGGCCATGCCCAACAATCATCGGGCCCCGCCCGGCATCGAGCCCTACTCGGAACAAATCTTTCAATAATATGAGATGGGCCCTGCTCATCACATTCATTAGTCCCCGCCTACCATCGGGCCCAACCTGGTATACATATAGATACATAAAACATATGCAAGAATCACTAAGACAACTAGCATACAATACACTTATCATGCCCCGCCAGGCTTCGGGCCCCACCCGGTATATATATCACATATTACACATGCAAGAGTCATACAGACAACTAGCATCATAATCATAATAAATCATGGGTCGGCATTGGTTTCTTCGATCCGCTAAACACTAAGAGGAGACTCACCTCTAACAGAAGATAGCCAAATCAACACTCGATCTGCTGTAAACACTGCTCCTCACACTAAACATTATCCAGAAACGACTCCAATCAATAACTAGGGTTTTATCCTATACCAATAGTCCACTCATCCTTCATCATATTAAGGGCAAAAGACCATTTTGCCCATATCCCTACAAGACCCAACTAATCCAAGCCCAAAACCCTAAATGGCCCAAGGCCCAAAATCAAACCAATGGGCTTCTGAGAGAACACCTGGCATCCGCTCAATGACATATGGCGTCCGAACGCCCAACGTTCTAACCCAAATGCCTGCATAACCACAGAATCCCAAATCCTTAACCAATGTCTTAATAGCTTAAGAACTAATGTTCAAACTTCATATCCAATGCTAAAATAACATCTAAAGCCATAAAGTTGCAACCTTTATGACTTTGCATGGCTACAAAGACCCCAACACCAAAATCTAACTTAAATCATACTCTAAAGTTTCAAAACTCTTGCATGGAAGAGTATCAATGTCCAAGCTTGCATTGTTATGATTCTAAACCCTCCAAAATGCTTGAAGGGACAGCCCAACCCTCTGGAGCATTCCGAACTCAAAAAATTGAAGTTTATGGGACCAAAAAGAACATAAAACTACACTTACGCAAGATCTAATAAAGAAGTCATCAAGATCTAAACTTTATACCTCCAAAAGGTGCTCCAAGATGCCAAGAGTCCAAATCCAAAGTCTAGAAAGCAACACCAACACTCCAAAGAATTTCCTTCTCCACCAAGAACACTAAAATGATATCAAAACGTTACTCCAAGGCTTCAAAACACTCACACGCACTTAGGGTTTCGAAATGAGGGCTATAAGGGACGAAGGTTGGAGATAAGAAACATTTAGAGGCTATAATGGCCTTTAAATAGGGTGCAAACCCTAAAAATTAGGGTTTGTCCTCTGTGTGCGAACCCCTATCGTCCACAAACTTACGTCTGGCGTTCCAATGCCTAGCGTTCCATTCCCGACACCTGATGTTTGGGACCAAAATGAAAAGTTAATACAAAGCAAGGCCAACAATGCAAATACCTTGAAACTGCCGTTACAAATCCACTACAATGAAGTTTCGACCACTTTGAGTTGATGATGATTCCATTCTTCAAAGTTGATGGAAGGAGATGAAAAATTGGTGCCCTAATCTAGTTTACGAACCAAATGTGATTTCGACCTATATTTTAATAAGGGGGAAATCCAAGTCATTTCCACTTAATACTTCTTTTATATGTATTAAAATACAAACCTGTGAAACCGGCTAAAAGCGTTCATATGGATAACACTTACACGTTTCAACAAGTTCAATGGTTAATAAATCACGAAAAACAAATTATTGACCAAAAGCTAAAGTATGTTACCTCTCAAGTCATTATCCCTTAATATATTATATGATTAATATATTAATTAGAAATAGTTAATAATTAATTATGAATTAATTAGAAATAGTTGGAATTAGTTGATTATTGATCAGAATTAATCTGAAAGGAACCGACCCAAACCCAAGAAACCGACCCAATATACATATTATTAATTATTTAATATATTTTTAATAAATGTTATATGGTTTATTAAAAAAATAATGTTAAAAAGTTTCAAAAACCCTCATCCTATTGTTACGTACTTGTCTACTGAAATATTGTTGTGTCACGCAGCGCATGCGCAATACTTAGCCATTTGCAGCTATTTGTTTTTTAGAAAACTTCTGACTTAAAAACTATTGTGTGTGTTGCGTGGCACAACACTTGACCATCTGCTTCAAACATCTTCACACCTTATTTTAACTTATTGCAGCAGTCAACAAAGGTTAAAAAACAAACAGATTTTTTATTACATGTTGCAGCCGTTTGATCACTCTCTTCTGCTACAGAGGGTTGCACAGGTGGTCCACATACTTCATGCATTTTCGCTTTGAAAAAAACAAACGGCACCTAACGCTCATCTCATCTCACTCTTTCAGCCTCACATAATTATTACATCTCACTTTCTCAACTTCTCGACTTCTCTCTAGAACCCTTTAATCTAATATTGGGTTTAATTTTCAGCTAACATTTTGTGATTGTTTTTTTCGATTAAGCTTATATAACCCCTAAATTCTTTTATTTATATGGATTGGTTGTGTTGATTTCTTCATTGGGACATGTTTCATTTTATTTAAAATTGATGGAAAATTAGTTAAAACACCAAACCCACAAGTTTAAACTCATAACACATCAACTCATGGATTGAACCCATAAAGCAACCCACGAAACCCAAACTAAACTCATTCGAAAACCAAATCGAAACTGACCAAATCGACCGATACTCAAGCCTAATAAATGTGGTAGACGGTGTTAGAGAACGGAAAATCGACCAAAGCCCTTAGTTTTTTCAGGAAGTTATTTCACATGTGCATTGGTACTTCCAAACCCAACATAAGCTTTTATAATTCATTAATGACCAATTATGTCGGAGATGGTTCTATGCTCCGATGGTTCTATTTCCTTTGGGTTTCATATATTAATCATTCCACTTAGATCGTTTAAACTCTTGTTTGGTGGTGGATCACCAAGTTTAGAGGGTGATGAGATGTTAATTAGCGTAGAACCTATTGAACAAATGGAGAAATTGAGGATTTCCAAAATGTGACTTGTGCTATAAACGACCTCTTCAATGAAGAGTCAAAGAAATATTTTTTCTTTATTCGATTTTTTTAGTACGCGTGCAAATTATTATAAATATATACTTGTATGTAAAACTTTTTATAAAAACTGTCATTTCTGTTAACGTCATCTCGCATATTTCAGTAGACAAGTACGTAATTCGAACACCATTAAGATAATAACCGAAAAGCTAGAAAGCATCGTATATCTTTAATTCAATATTATTTATTTACTCTTCAAAAAAAAACATGAAGAACACCACGAATTAACTAATTTAACCCGTTTCCCAAATGGGACTCCAAAGATCCCACACACCATGTGTCGTACTTTCTTCAGAACTCGATCCAACTTCACTGCAGAAACATGGAAACGTTCCCATGCAATCTTCATGATGTTTTACTTCTTGATCACCTTCCCAACAACACGAAGATATCAAATCCGACATCCTACTTTCATATGGTGAACCACTTTCGAATGCAATATCCATGTTACAAGATTCAGGTGTTTCCATGGATGAAATTCCAAAAATATCCTCTTTATCATTCATGCTGCTTTCGCCAACATGATCAAAGCTTCTGTCGCATTTTGTTGTCAAGAAATCTTGTTTCACATCTTCTTTTATGCCCTCGAAGCATTCTGCTTTAGAATTTCATTAGAACATGAACATGATCGTGAATAATCTTGATCGATGAATACATAATAAGAGTACATATATATATATATATATATATATATATATATATATATATATATATATATATATATATATATATATATATTTATAAACCTAGTTGGGCTTCGGCTTTCTTTTTTAAATGACTTCTCCAGTAATTCTTGATCTCGTTATCTGTTCTTCCAGGCAATCTTTTAGCGATTCTTGACCACCTATATATGTAATTAATTATATCTCATATATTGAAATTCGTCACAAAATATTGTAGTACAATTGTACAAATTAATGCTTACTTGTTACCCCATTGTTTATGAAGATTAAGTATTATGTGTTCTTCTTCATCTGTGATCTCACCATGCTTTAAATTGGGTCGAAGATAGTTCATCCACCTAAGCCGACAACTTTTTCCACTTCTCCTCAAACCTTAGCGTCCCAATCATTATCTCATAATGATTAGTTTAAAAAATTAATCAAAATAAAACGTATGTTATAACTTATATATATACCTGATTGTTTAGCCAAAGCATCCCAATGTTTTTCACCTAATGCTTCAACAGTGATAGTCAATCTATCATCTTCTTCATCAAGCCAAGGCCCTCTACGCAAGTTTATTGGATCATGAATCGACATGAAAATCAAAACTTATGGTTTGAATTAGGGTTTATGGGTTTGTTCTTTATGTGATTAACTGTTTGAATTTATAGGAAGACTTTAAAGAATGGAAATTTTGGATCGGGACTGTAGGTGGAAAGCAATGTGTAAGGCTAGTGATTGTGGAAGCTCCACCATGTCTTTTCTTTACGATTGTAAGGTGTTTTCTATTGGTTTGTATGGGAGTTTGCGTCACAAACTTCGGTTTATGCTTCTTCTTTATGGTGATTACAACTTCTCATTCCCTTTTTTTAACTAAAGATATATAAGGGTATTATCGTTATTTCCTAAAGAGTTGTCTTTTTTGCAAAAAGTAACATGTCCACGTGCTTGTTGTTCATATATAGATGAGAATATACACATGTCCATGCTTCTTTAGCATTAAAATAGATAAATAATATCTATCTTCAACCATATTCATTATATATATTTTGCTATGTAGGCATTGTGATTTATCGTTGGTTATGAAACTATTTGGTTTCAACTAAAGATACATAAGGATATTCTAGTCATTTTGATTTATCATTTCCATGTTGGTTATGAAACTATTTGGTTTCAACTAAAGATACATAAGGATATTCTGGTCATTTTGCCATAAGGGTATTCTGGTCATTATATATATTTTGCCATGTAGGCATTGTGATTTATCATTCCCATGTTGGCTATGAAACTATTTGGGTTTCAACTAAAGATACGTAAGGGTATTGTAGTCATTTTCCAAGGTGACTTTTACACAAAAGGAAATATTTCCTAGTGCACGTTATTCACAACAATACTTCATTCATTCAAAGAGTAGGTTGATTAAGTTGACTTTTTCGGTCAAACAAACTAAGATCCAAAATCAAAATTAATGCTAATACTATAAACTTTCAAGAAATTTTTGTTCCTAGTTTTAAGTGCTACATACATTCAAAAACAAAAATGATAACGATTAACATATAACAAAATAATCCATATACATATTGAGCTTGAAATAAGCAAAAGGTTTGACCTCAAAAGTCAAATTAAGCTTTCATAAATTCTTGTATGTATAACACGTGTTCTTCTTTCAACACACCATTCTTCATCTTAATAAAAGCATAAACAATGATGAGAAATCATTAACAAAAGGTATTACAAACACTTTTCATTGGATTAAATCATTAAACTACTACTCATAAATGTAACATCCGCATAATATAAACCTTCAACTCCTAACGTTCATCCATGAATGATTTGTTCATGAGCTCAACTGCTGAATCCATAAACTGCACCACATATACAAAAAAAAAAAAAACAAAAACTTTAAATCGACATTTTTATAGTAGAAATTAGACGCTGAAGAACACATAGATATGCACAATTGTAAAAAAGTATTTTCTATCTTTGAAGTCATTGTTTCACTTAAAAGTAAACAATGAGTTAACAACCAACCAAAGTAGCTTGCTTTCCACTTTAGTAAGTACACTTCAGGTCCAAATAAATTCCATTTCAATTGTTTGTAAAGATGATAAAAGGGCAAAGATGTAATTTTTAAAAAAAAAGAAATGGAATATACCTTTCCAATGTTCTTGAGTTCTTTCCCAACAGGTTCCAAAAATTTCAAGTCAACATCAACAGGCCAAACCTGCATACACATGTCAAATACAAACAGATTTGATGATAAATTTATAACAATAATCATCTAATGAAATTATGTAGTAATAAGTAATAACCAGTAGTCATTTATGATCTTTGAATGTGTTACAACAAGATTGAGCCAATTTAAGCAGGGTGTGGCTCATTTTAATGGAATTAAGATTGCTCTATAGTCTATACAATGTGAAAGTGAATAGAATCTTGAAATGCTGATAGTTATTGATGATATGTTATAGATCAAATTAGCATTGAGAATGAACTTCTCCATGAAACTTTTAGCTTCCAAACAGACATATAAAGAAATTAACTTCTGGTTTTGTAAATACTGATATGTTCTATTTTTCAGCTTGTAGATTCAAATTTCTTCGTTCTATAGTTTTATGTAATGATCGACTAATTTAAAACAAAAACATCATAAGGTAATCTGGACTTTACTTTTAGATGAATGGAGGCATAGAAGATCTAACCTTTAATCCAAGAAGTTTAATGGGTGTAGCCTGTCCGGGAACGATGCATTCTGGCCCTGCTGCTTCCACTATCGCTTCTGTTCCTAATCCATGTCCAATTGGATCCGGGTGCTGCAGAATTCCGATTCAAAAACCAAAAGATTCAAAAAGGAACGAAAAGCCACAACAGATTATACAACAGTTTACAGATACAATCACCCTAATTTGGAACCTTTATGTAGTCACAAACACAATTGATGAACAGTTTACAGCTACAATCACTCAATCCCCTTTCGGCGAAGAAAGATTTTGAAAGACCTCAATTTATCCTGAACTTCAATTTATTATTTAAACAGAGGAACACCCATGTTCGATGAACAGATATGGAACTCACACACTCATAATTAACTAAATTTAAGCAAACAGAGATAAAAATTCGAACGTACCTTCATGAGGGAGACGGCATAGTCGGTGTAGGGGTTTTGAGCGATGCAAAGAACGGGGGAATGGTGGATTTTGGGGAGGGGTTTGACGCCTGTAGAGGGTGCCCTCCATGGTGCATCCTTCTGTAACACAGCTCCTCCTTTCTTTGACATTAATTGGTTATTTGTTGTTGTTGAAGAGTGAGGGAGGACTAGGAAGGATGAAGGAATGAAGGGGGATTGGAAGTTGGTGTAATTGCAACCAGTAAGATAAAGATTAAGGAGGTGATGTTAATGGATGGATGAAGATTGAAGATGGTGTAATGGCCGGAGGTTTTGGATTTCGAATTTTTGGTCGCTGTTAATCGAGTTTAAGAAAAGGCTTTTGTGATATGAAGCAATTGGGTCATCCGCCTAGGCCCTTGCCACCTTAAATGACTCCTATACCCGACCCTTTTGGGTTCGAATAATTTTCATGTTCCTTTTTTGAATTATTTATTTTTATTGCACAAAAACTCCATAAGTTTGTAACTTTTTTAAAGGTTTAGTATAAGTTTTATGCAGAAACATCTTTTTATTTTAGAAAAAAATTTAATAAAGTTCTAAAAAATTTTGAAAGGAAAAGTTTCATTATTTTGGTAAAATAATATAATCTGTTATTTTCTGATAAAAAAATGATTTTTTTCATTAATTTGGATAAAATGTTAATAATTATAATTTTTCTTTTAAAAAAAGATTTAAGATTTTATCAAACTTTTCACAAAATATTGAGATTTTTCAACAATAAAACCCTTTTATTATTTAAGTTTTATTTCGGAATTTATCTTATGGTATTCATTAAGATTTATTGTTTCGCTCTAAAGAACCCGGAAACCGATGATATATAGTAAATATTGTAAAACTAGAAAGTTGAAATGAAAATTATAGGGTAAAATTGAATAAAAAAACAAAAATAAATAGTTAAAAAGTTGCAAACATAAGTTTATCTTTGATCGTAGAAAATTGTTTTTATTTTTCTTGAAAAAAAAGATAGAATTTTCATTATCAAATTTTGATATATATATATATATATATATATATATATATATATATATATATATATATATATATATATATAAATTATAGGGTAAAACTGAATAAAAAAACAAAAAATAAAACAGTTAAAAAGTTGCAAACATAAGATTATCTTTGATCGTAAAAAATTGCTTTTATTTTTCTTGAAAAAAAAGATAGAGTTTCAGGTTTCGATATATATATATATATATATATATATATATATATATATATATATATATATATATATATATATATATATATATATATATATATATATATATATATATATATGGTTTAAATTGTATTGTGGAAAATAAACTATTGAAATTTAAGTTGCCAACAAACATAAAATAATAATAATAAAAATAAAAATAAAAAAGTCTTAAAAAGTAAAGAACATGAATTTTTGTTTCTATACATGTCACATTCTAATTTTACATTTTTTGGTCTTATATTTAAATTTTATTACAAAATTTGTCAAAATTTTATATTTTGTTACGAATATATGTGGGTGGTTGGGACATGTATGGATGAGCAACTAAAATGGGTACCCGTTTTCAGAACCGAAACTGTTTTGGAACCGTCGGTTCTGGAATCGGAACTGTCTTAAGCGATTTGGGTTCCAGTTCTTATTTTTAGGAAACTACTACCCGCTACATACCCGTCGGAACCAATCTGTGCCACACATTTCGAATATGTCGCTTAAGCGCTCCAGTATAATGGGTCGGCATAACAAATCATATTCATTTATGAATACATATAAATAAGTGTATTCATATATGAATACGTATATTCATATATGAATAAGTATAGCGGAAGTGATTGTTCATATATGAATATGGCAGCGTTGAGTGGTGGCGGTTGTTTGTTGTGGTTAGTTGTGGAGGAGGTGGTGGTGGTGGCGGTGGTTGTTGGTGGGGATGGTGGTGGTGGTTGGTGGGAGATGGGAGTTGGTGTATTCATATATGAATACACTTATATTGATATTAATATATGAATACTACTCATCCTCCGTTGGCCCGGTACGCCGGAGTGTTTTGCGGCAAAAATAAATGATTGGCTGAGAATGATTCCTTCATTATCAATATTTATCATTTTCTCAATTAAATAACATCATTTAAAATTCTAGAATTTTGAGTGATTTGTTTTAAACATTTAAAAGTTTTAATAAACATGCACACATTTTTTTCATCATGTTATTCAAGCTATTGTTATTTTCTAATCATCATTTTTAATATGTACGAATTACATATTGATGTTATCGATAACTCATTGTAAGTTACAATAGATATACTTTTATAAGTTTTAAAAATTCAACAAATTTTAACGAACTGGGTTACCGCTATTGGAACTGTTGCCCGTTGGTTTCGGTTCCGGTTCCATCATTTTATGAACCACCAGTTCCAGTTCTAGATAATTAGGGTGGATACCACCTATGCTCATCTCTAAGGACAAGGATAGGTAGTATGGGTTTAAGTGATGGGTTTTAGTCATAAGAACATCCTATGTGCTCATACAAACCCTAATGCTTGGATCTAGGTTTCTCTATTGTACATGCAATTTATCCAAGACTATAAACCCTAATTCTAGCATATGATAATCGACATTAACATGATGATGGGTTTAAGATATTACCTTGATTGTTATGTAGCAATAACAATCACAATTCCTTCTTGTAATGACTTTAGAAAGCTTAGAGTCACAAGTGTCACTCCTCTAATGGTTCAAAAACACCAAGAGCAAGAGGATGAAGAGGAGAAGAGAAGGAGGCTGTCCAAAACCATCCAAAACCCTAGAAGGAAGCTTGTTCACGTTTTTGGGGCATAAGGGTTCTATATACAGTGAGGCTATTAGGGTTATCTAACAAGGAAACCTTAATTTGGATGCTTAAGCCCTAAGCAACCCATGGATTCCTTTCTTAAAGGCCTTGGATGATTTCTTATGGGTTTCCCCATAGAATTCGTCCAACCTTATATAATAAGGTAATCCATAGCCCAATTGCAATTATCTTATAATTACAATTCCAGTCCCTTAAGTTTAATTAATCTCTTTTAGCCACAAAATTAATTATCAATTAATTCTTGACTAATATTAATTAAACAATATGATTTCTCCTTTAATATATTATTCCCATAATATATTAATAAATCATATTTAATCCTTTCTCTCCATAATTAATCCTATCAAGTTGCTTTGGTGAAGGCAACCCAAAAGGACCATGTACCATCGGGTCAAGTACATACCAAAATAGTTATGGACTTAGACACTAATCCAACAGTAGGTAGGTAGAATAGGTAGAGATATGTGGGATAGGTGTATGGGGTGGGTTGAAGGAGGGTGAGTGGTTTGGGGACAGTGTAGTAAATGTGGTTAGGTTAGGAGTAAGGTGGAATAAGTAGGATGGGTGGGTATGTAGGGTATATATGGGAGGGTGGTGTATGGCTAGGTTGTTGGAAAAATATCCAAGATCATTAACTATTGATAATATTTTTAATAATAGTAAGATTTTTTTTTGTTTGTCCTAATGAGTCGTATCCATTTGAGAAATCAAAAAAATGTCTATTGGAGAAATAAGTTTATTAATTTGTCATGATTTGATAAATTAATTAGAAACTAATTTTGAGTTAATTAAGAATTAATTGGTTTAAGAGGTAGAATACTAATTAATTAAAAGTTAGTTATTTGGGATATTCCAAAAACTTTAAGTGGTATTGAGGTGGAAAAATTATAGGTTGAACTCACATGAGTCCGGAGTTGCTTTGGGACTAAGTAATTATATATAGCTTATAAATAGTGTGTTAGGGATCAAACCTTAAGGCTCATTTTATTTTTTTTGGGAAAGAGGCCGAAGCCCCGGCAAAGATCTTAAGGCTCATTTTAAGGCTTGTGTTTTTAGGTATTTCCCATTCTTCATCCTATTAGACTAAATTCTTAACCTTCTATAGGGTTTGTAGAATTCGATCATATCTCCTATTTTTCTTTTTATTCTCTCTTTGGTATTCTTGGATGTGAACCATTAGAAAGATTATGATTTGGATCTTTTCATCCAAGCAAGGTGATTAGAATAAGATCACAAACCCAAAAATCTTTAGTTGCAAAAGAGGTATGTATTGTTCTTCAATTTCTTATAGTAGTAACAATAATATCATGAAACTTAGATCCTCTATGCTGTATGAACACATATGAATTATTGTTTATTTCCGTTGGGCATAATTGTGTGTTTAGATGTTGAAAACCCTAACATAGGTATAGTGGGTTAAGGGTAGATGTTTTGTAGGTTAGATGTAAGGTGGGTGGGTGGTGAAGAGATATATAAGTATGGGTAAGCATACATGGGTGGGGTAGAAATTAGAGTATGTGTTAGGTGAGGTAGGGTAGGAGTGGATGTATGTGTTGGGTGGGGTGGATATATGTAGGTTGTAAATGGGGACTGATAGGTGGTAACGTTGGACAAGTATGAGAGTGTGGGTAGGGATGGTGATAGGTGTGTGTAAGTTTTTCTTGGAAAATTTTTAGAAATGTATCTTGAAATATTCTTAGAAAAATTATCAAACCAATTGTGTTTTCAAAGATTTTAATTTTTCTTAAAAAGAGTTTATTGAAAAATACAGAATAACCAAAATCAACATGAGGTTTTCTCGACAATATCTCAGTTTACTTTTTTTTTCGAAAGAGATATCATTTTAACTTAATAAAGTGAACTCTTTAAAAAAAAAACCAAAACCAAATAACTTTTTATATCAATTTATCCATACATAAATTGATATTTTGTTTATTTATAAACTAAAATATTACTACAATAATCAACTTTGCTACATATTTTGGAAGAAACATAAAATTTGTTACATAGAATAATTAACCTAAAAATATATTTATAACTGCAATATAAAACATATATGATATTTATGTAAGTGTAAAAAGACCGAACTGTATCATTTTATTTGTTTTTCTACCAAAAGTAATGGATTGTTTTACACCAATGTAACCATTACAATGAAAAAAACTCAAATACTGTAAACTTTAGTGGTTCTTTGTATATTTTCACAAAAACTGTAAACGCTTAGTGGGTTCCCCCAAAATACAACCACACAAACAGATAACATATACAAACAACGACATGCAAACAGAGCCTTTAGCCTGACTGGAACGCCGCACCGGCCTACAGACTATCTGGAATGCTCACAGAGCCTTCAACATGACTGGAAGCGCCTCATCGGGCCTACAGACTATCTGAAATGCTCACGTAACCTTCAACATGACTGGAATGCCTCACCAGACCTTCAACCTCTCTGGAGCGTTCTCTGGGCCTTTTAGCTAACTGGTACGCCCCTTGGGCCTGCACTCTATCCGGGACATCCTAGG